AGGAATGCAAATACCAGTTGTATCTTGATACAAAGCAAATATTTGACACTAGATATTTGATATAAATGTATCTCCTGAAAGGTCATTTAATAGAGAATCTACTGGTTGAACCAGGGTGCCAGTCGGTGGCCCAACATATGTAAGATCACCTGTTCTCTTTGCTACAGCTAATGAAGGAGGAGGACCTGGAAGATGATTTCCTGGGTTGCACACTGGAAGACCTGCTCCGGTTTGATGACTACAACAACGACGGCCACTTAACCCTGCATGAGCTCTACACAGCCTTCCGTGAGTCCTGCTGCTTTTGTCTGTCCTGGGTGTTGAAATCTGAATGGATATCTGTGATGACAATGTTGTCTTCCCAGACACGGGCAGCAGAAATAATCCCTTTTTCTATTTAGTGCCATGAAAATGCTATGGAAGGGCTTGTTTCTGAAGGCTACTGTGCTCCAAAGGGTGGGCATGAACTTGCAGGTTGGTAAAAGTGTGTGGAGCTTATTTCCCAGTGTATTTTGCTGTGCTGCTTGTTGGTGGCGATGGGGAGATGTTGGTGAACTGGCCAGGTCTGCAGACCTGAGTATGTGGTTTCTGGGTAACCTTGAGAAAACAGAGTGGAAACCTGTCTTGATGTCTTGTGGTAACGTGAGTTAGTTTTCTGTGGGGAAGGTGTTTGGCTGAATATTCTGCCTGGGAATTGTATCTTCTGCATTTTGTTTCTATGTTAGGAAGTGGATTCCAGTGTGTAATCTCAATATATGGCTCAGCACTGTTTGCAGTCATCTCTAGATCACTGAGCTGCTTAAAGACTGCAACAATTAAGTACTTGTGTTATCCCATTTATCTTTATAACTCTGTGCTTCAAGTAAAACACTCATTTAAGTCCTTCTCTGGAAAAACGGGAGACATCGTCATCTCCACCGGGATGATAGAGAGTTCTATTGATGCCTATTCCTTTGGGATATTGAAAAAAACCAGAGAAAATCAGGATTGTGAGCTAAGAGTACTTGTGTGTGGTTAATACTCTTTAAAAAAAAGTTTCAGCCATTGCACTGCTGAGTGCAAGCAAAAAGCCAGTAACAAGCTCATTACCTCTTAGGCTGGATTCTCACATCTTTGCATAGGACATTTTATAGACCAAATAATTTTAGGAGCTCTTGATTTTATTTTCTAAGCCAGGGCATCCTGCTCAGTGGGAAAAGCCTGGTGTGTGTCCAAGAGTCACCACGTGCCCCTTGCCAGCACACTCCTTGTTGATGCTCTTTGGCAAGCTGTGATGCTGATGTAGAATCTCTAGTTTTGCCACATTTTCTCTTCTCTAAAAAGGGTCGTTTCTGTTTTTTTTTACTTTGGGCTTTTTGTTAAAAAACAAACAAACAAACAACAAAACCAAATAACTTTGGATAATAATGGTTTAAGTGCTTTAAAATTAGCCCCAGTTTTCACCTTGGACCTGTTTGAACCCCATATGCATTTAATTCAACACAGCACACTCCAACTAGCAGATATGCAGTAAAACATAAAGCCCCATGCATTAAGAAGGCCATAAAGTGAATTAACCCAGCTATAAAGCCTTGACACATGGTTATTTGGGAGCATATTCGGATCAATGGGTTCTCAAAGTCACAGCAACTCGAAGCTCCATTCCAAGAGTCATTGGTATGGGTTTTTGGTTCAGTGAATTTTAAGTAGGCAATGAAAATAAGACAAGAACAAAATATTAGCCAATGAATAGAGATGGTAATCAATAAACTGCAAAAATCTTGTAACAAAACCCAAGACATAACAATGAGTGTCCATCAAAAGGATTTAGTATATGAAGAGAATTGTTCTCCATCCAAAGCTGAAAATCAGACTGACTTCTCCATTTCCAATTTTCCCAGAATTGCCAGCTTTCTCTGGTGTGGTTAATGGCTCATCAGCTTTTAATTTAAAACCAAAATGTATTGCTTGCAACTTTTGAAATCTTGGGGACTCTGTAAGCCACCTGGAGTGCTCAGTGCAAGTAAATATTTTTCCTTTGTTACATGATGTGGGGAAAAAATGTCAAAACTACTTCAATCACTTGTCCCAAGCACCTACTTTGGTTTGCAGTCCTAAAGTGTTTATGAAATTTCTGGTTGTTGTAATCCAGAATTTGGCTTGCAGTAGCATCCTGCATTTATTTCATGGTTTTGGCTCATTGGGGTGATCCTTTTGATGCTTGAAATTCCCCCCAGCCCCTCATGTCTGCCTGGTGGCTGCAGGCTGTGGGGATGGCTGTTCAGCAAGCTGAGGAACATAATTACCTGAATTCACTGGCATCAGAAAGTCTCAATCTAATTTGTCCTCTCAAAAACTCCATTACATGTGTTGTGGTGCATCAATGCTCTGGTGTAGGGCAGCAGGGTTGGAAAGGTTTGAGGATGACCTTGATAATGTGAAGAGCTTTCCAATTTGTCATTTTTGTGCTGCTTTAGAAGTTGCATTTCATTTTACAGTCTCACGGCCTTCTTGTACCTTCCAGAGCCAGGAGTGGCCTCTTTCTCTCTCTTTCTCTGTGTCTCTTGCTTTTCTTTGACCCATTGTCTCTCTTCAAGACCCACAGAACTGCAAGGAGCATTTTTGATCTCCATCCATGTTGATCAGTTATAAATGAATGAAAAGTGTACAGAGAGAAAAATCATACCTTTTCTGAGACCTGGTTTCACCCTCACAAGCACTTCATTTCATAGGTGCTGGGTTTAATAATGTTATCTAATAATGCTAAGAATTTGCTTACACATCTTAATGCACAGTTTTGGATTATAGGCAGAAATAGTTCCCCTTCTCATAAACCTATCAACTCTCTTCTGATTTTCTGGATGTTCTTCTGTTACTGAATCACAAATATACAATTTTTTAGGAGATTTCTGCTGTGTATGAGGATGACTAGAAATAGATATTAACACAGGATTAAAATACCACTTTTCAAAGCACCCTAATCATCCATATGTAATGTATGAGACAGATGAAATAATCTGGCAGCTTTGGCAAGAGCAACTTGTAGCTCTTCTGATTTCCCATTAATAAATTTTATTAGATAAGCAGGCTCAGGGCAATAATTTTTTTTAAAAAATAAATTAATCTAGTCTCAAGATTTTCACACTCCAAAACCAGAGAGAGAGTATTACAAAGTATATTTGTTGTCGTGTCTTTATATTGTCACAAAGATTGAATAAATGAGTAATAAATGAAAGGTTTGGTTGTCAGAAGAGCTAAAGCAGAGCACATATCTAATTAATCAGCATGGAAATAGTCTGGTGACTTGGCAAGCACATCACCAGGCTGGGTCAGATTTTAAATACACTCAGATGAGTGGGTTTTGGATATAACTTCTGGAACCATATCTGACTGGAAGTCATTGGAATTAGGAATATCACTTTTGGCATTCCTGTTGTCTTCCCTAAAGAGCAAGTAGCAGGTTGGCAGATGTGAAAGCCCAGCTGAAGGGGGAAAAAAAAAAAGTGTCAGTGTAACCTTCTAGATCTATATTATCATCGATGTGGACAGGTCGATTTGTAACACAAATATGTCAAGGGGAGAGAAAACATGCATTCCATCAAAATGGCCTTGTCTTGTCAGCATTGTTTAGCTAATCAGTTATGAAATGAAATCCTCTTACATTCCAGCTCATTGCCAATTAGAGCATACTCCCAAGCAGCACCCCCTGATCACAGCTGCCCTTTGCATTTCCTTACCATTTTAAAAGCACAGAAAAGGCCTTTGCAAACACCTGTACTGCCCCACAGGAGCTCTTCCCAGTGGGTCACACTGGGTTTAGAAAGTTTTTTGCCTGAGTTTGCATAAAAGGCCTGAAGTCTTTTAGGTCAGGTTAGAAATTCTACCCCAGGATGATTTCCCACCTTATCACTATTGTGTCTGACCAAGGTTGCCCCACATGCCCTGCATTTCCCAGCCTGGCTCTTGAAGGTTTCCAGATCACAGGGTTTCTAGTAGCTCTGCAGCAACATTTTGAGACCCTTGATGTCTGGGGCAAAAAACCCACAAAAACTGTTTGAAAGTAAAATACTGAACCAGTATTTTTCAGTCTAGTTGTTATTTCCCAAGTATTTGTGTCTATATTACATGTAGACAGAAAACTGTTGTTCCTCTAAGATGAGAGCTCTGTCATCATCTATGGGCACGTTATAATCTAAAGAACTTAAATGTTATTTAGAAGGAGCACATTTCATGCAGGAATGAATACAGAAGAGGCTGCAGGATCAGCATCCTCTTCTTTGAACCATCCTCTTTATAACACTATTAAACTCTTTAAAAGGAGTTTGTCTTCTTCCCTGATTCTGTGTTAGTTCAGCTAACACGTGCAGCAGGTCAGGGCACTGCTGGACAACAGGCAGGGAGGTGATGGTGCCAGCCCATGGCACAGACCCATTTCCTGCAGCTTTCCCAGCAGTGCAGGTGGGGTCTGGGAAACCAGAGAGAAGGGTGGATTGGAATATACTGGGTGAAAAAATAAATCAGGAGCCTGGGCTGGGCATGGGTGTTGGATAAATGAGTGGCAGTGTAGTGAAGCAGCAGTGAATGGTGTTGGATGGCTCCAGATTTCCTGCTGTGATCCCAGACTCTCTGTTAGCTGTTCCACCAGGTGATGCAGCCTCCTGGGGCAGAGGAATGAGCCACCCAGCCCTGACCCTTCCAGCCAACCTCTGCAGCCTCCTTAGAAGTGGCGAGTGTAAAATGGATTTGGTTTTGAGATGTGTATATCTCTGATTTGCTGGGAAATATTTTAGGGCAGGGCTTTGGGACTGTCCCAAAAGCCTTGAGATGGAGGCTCACTGGGGAGAAGCTGAGCTGTGCAGGCAGGAAGAAGGAGAGAACCCCAAAAATGGACAATTGGGTGAGGTGTGAGAAAGGAGTAAGAAAGGAAGCTTTCAAAAGTGTAACTCTTCTTGACAGCCATCTCATCTTGAGAAAGGTGATAAATTCTCTGTGAGGAAAAGGAAACCTTATATTTGGAAAAATATGTCCATAATGTCTGTACTTCAGGTACACCTGGCAAGCCAGCTGTTCCAGCAGAAACTGCATCTGCAAACTCCATGTTTGGATGAAGTGTTTATTCACATCTTTGCAAAGCTGTTGATGGCCTGGCACATAGGCTTGGCTATTTGATACATCTCCCTTCCAGCCAGATTGGTCAAGCCTGGTTAATTACATCGGACAACTCGATTGTGCGATAAAATGTTTTGCTTGCGGTGTTCTCATCAGCCCTGTTGCAGCAACAGTTATCTACAGGCTCAAATCAGTCCGAA